AAGGAAGCCGCTTGTGAGGCGCTTCGTGTTCCTCTTAGGATGCATGGCTGCCATCAACGTGTGATGAGCATGAGCACCGGGCAACTACGATAAGACCCGATGACGAGTGAAACCACACAATTCTAGTTCCCTACAAGGTGAATCTCAACAGTCCTCCATGTGCGACCTGCTTGGACCCTCAAAGGAAACGTATTGACGCTGTACCGAAGTGGTTGTATGTTTGTCAAAGCTTTAATTCAGTTGCACAAGCTCCATCTTTGAGCTGCATTTGCAACCCTAATTTAGATGGGAAACCTGATACCGCTTCACAATTCCATGACATAGCCTTAGGATCGGCGGAAAATCACGGATTACTCGTCGCGTACATGTGTCGGATTCTTGAGTATTGACGGAAATTCGATACGCCGTGTCACAAAATTGCGTCGATCAGTGATAAAATCGTTAGTGCCGAAACCCACCCTAAGTAGCTTGTGTTGCACGTTGTGCACATTGCTTGGCATGTTTCATTAAAGCGGCATCAATGTAGATCTGTCCATGCGCGTCGCTGCTCCTTGCTTTACGCTGCATGCTTTGCGGGTTTCATTTAAAACGTGATATATTGCATCGGAGTGGGTTTTCAGATGCCTCTCCAAATAGCTCATGCGCACAGTCTTCCTTGCTCTGTGTTTTGAAGCGGAGCAGCTGGTCCTCCTGCACATCCTAGATATCGGGTTCGACAGGGCGTCGTTTGGACTTCAGCAAGGCGATGGACCTCTATATTGGTCGCAACTTCACCTTTGCGTCGATCAATGCACGAATTGTTTCAAGTTGTAGTTTGGGTGCGAGTTGCCTGGCAGCCTGTTGACATGCCCATAAATCCTTCGCTCCGGTGTCAAACCGAAGTGACCCTTACGCGCTCTGTGCACGCACCTGAACCTCGTTGCATCCTCTTCTTTACAGGCGTTCGAGATGAACACCCGGTTCGTTGTGCTAGCGCACATGTGGTGCGAGATGGGCGTCCGCCTGGCGGAGGAGATGTTGGAGCATCTGAACAGCGACGAGGACCTGATTGACCGCATGTGAGTGGATCTGCATCTGCAACCCTAATGTGCGCAAAGTGAACAAGCCCAACTTCAATTGCGGGGTTTCATGTAATATTGCAGGCTACAGGTGTTGCTTGCAGCACTTGCCGACATGGCGGCATGCTACTAGAGTGGTGGCAAGTGTTACCACAGATTCGAGTACTTGACTGCGCCCACTACTGGTGTGTGCCGTTGTTTTGTTTGCTCTGGGTGCTATGTGCCTTCAATCACCACATTGCGTTGGTCAATTGACATGGTCAATCATGTTGCCACATCCACAATGCCAATCAAACTTCTGATCTACCGGGTGGTCGATTTGGAGGCGCCTGTATTAGATCAAGGGTCGCGCTACAAACCAACAAACCATCGGCCGCCTGCTCTTTTGCGACCGCGAAAATTGGATTTCGATTCGAACGTCGACTAGATATTGCAACGCCTGGCAATCCCATTATGTTCGTGCCTGAGTTGTTTCGACACGATGTTCAGAATTTACGGTTGTTGACCGTACGGGATTCGAAGTGCACAATAGATCGCCTTCCGTTCGATCACCACTAGAACCCTACGATTTTGATGCCATTGCAAACGGTTTCCTACAAGGGCGCGGCCGTTCGGCCATGTTAATTGGGTTCAACTTCGCGTGGATTCAATGCGAAATACTTCAGTTTACACCGAAAAGCAAGGCGTAGATATGCTCATATCGTCGGGGTGATGTGGGCACATTTGATCGGGGCAGTGGTTTGAGCGCGTATGACTAGGCATACTGGCGATAATCCGGGCCAAGCACCAATCAGTGCCCTTGTGCCCTAAAACGCCTTCACACCGCCGCCAATCATACCTGCACACAAACTCCTTAATCTGTAGCATCAACCATACAAAGACAGCACCAGACAAGCACAAGGAACGAGGAGTTCCCCGAGCGATAACTTGGCAACTTCAAATCAGGTCAATCAAAGGTTGCACCGTAGAGGCCAAAATAACAAATCATGTGCAAGCAGGGGACGCGAAAAAGGGGCATGTAAAGCAACTCGATTTAGTACCTTGCACTACGGTGCTATGCTTGTGCTGCAACCCTATGTGCACTAGACGTGCAAAAGAGTCCTATCAAATTTCCCGTCAGGCAGACTCGCACACACCCCTTCCTCTACATATCTAGCCACCAGCTCTCAAGCCCGCAGCTCCCATGTCCCGTTGTAGAACGAGGCCCTTGTCTGCGCAAACCGGTTCTTCTTCTTCCGCTACGCGCCAACCTTCACCGCGGCGCTGACCGTGCCCTCGTTCGTTCACGGTGCAGGTGCACGTGCAAGGGCGCCGCCCGCAGCGCATCGCACAATCGCCGCCTTAATGCCCGTCCTGTCCACCTTACACGGCAACTTGCCGAGGCCCTTTTTCGCATCCCTCCGCACCACGGCTAGCACGTCGTCCGCGCGATCAGCTTCCTCCAGGTTGGACAGCTCCACGTGCTGTGCCAGCACAGGAGCCCCACTCCCACAAACGCAAACCAGCTGTTGACACTGTGCGACTTGGTAGCTGCACTCTCGACCCACCACTACGCATCTTGCATTCGTTGCCAGCCGGCGGCAGTCACGGTGGCGGGCAACGCCCTGATTTTGTGGTGCTTGAATCTCGTGTTCTGCAAACCATACGGTGCAGACGTAATACTTCGAAAAGAAAAAGAAGATGTGACAGCATACGTCTCGCTGACAGATAGGCAGGCACAATGACACACATAGGCCGACACATGAAGTTATAGTGGCAAAACCAGCAGGCACTGCAGTTCTTATTCTATAGTACACAATCTACAGCTGTTATGCAATCACCACAATCAGACATCCATCACTTACCTCATGGTAGTAATCACCCCTTCCTCTGAAACACCTTCAACACGTCGATGACGTAGTGCATGATATGCTTCGCGTTGAACGTAGCAAGTTTGTACCTTCCATCAACATACCACATGTGTTAGAGTTTCTACATCGTGGTTGCTCCTGGCACAAAGCGAAACCAGTGCACGGGAATGTCAAGCTGCTTGCACAGCTGTAACCTAGCTGCAGGCAGCCTACCATATGCACAGCAACAAATTTGAAGTCATTAAAAGCTGTGCAAGCTGTCAGTGTCCAACACGATGTCACAAGTTTGCACAATGGTATTTACAGTGCAATGCAGCACCTGCACGACCGAATGACCTTCCCCTCCGTCTATAGAATTCGAAATTCAAAATCTTTCAGAAAGCAACCTGCATGAATGCCCACATCTGTTCAAAGCAAAGCTCAGTGACACACAGTACTTCTTGTGTCATAAAGTGCCAGCAGCCGTGCTTTATTGCACAGGTATCACCCATGAACTTAACAAAAAGGCCACAGATAAAAGCACTCACCACTGGATGAAGTGCAGCTCTTCGCTCAGCAGCAAGTACAAACACAAGTACAGGTGCTCCACCAGCGCTTTGTTCGCAACCCGCTGCTCCATGTTCGGAAACACACAGCTTGTAGTGGCGACAGCAAAGCAGTACAGCAGCTTAGACTTGGTCTTGATGTTCCACACCCTCCTAGCAGTCAGCGGTCCCCATCCACTGTAGCACAGGCCTGCCAGGGGTGCGCCTTGCAGCGTCAAGCGCCTGCGCCTTCAGAGTAGCGATCCAGCCCAACGGATCGCGGAGCATGCTCAAAACGCCTCGATGGTGCGCCAAACAACCAGGACGGGGAGGGAGAGGGGAGCCGGCAGAGGACTTGATGTAGGATAGCTCCCATTCAAATTGATTGGTAGCACTAGTCGCGTCCGTCTGCACTAAATAGAGAGGCTCTGAAGCTCATGAGGGACATCGCCCAAGTCAAGCCCCTCAAACTCAAAGCATGCAGCGTTGGCGCTGGCTTGTGGCAGGATTCTTCGTGAACACCCCCGTGATGTTCACAAATCAATTCAACTGGCCATCCTGCGGCAAGTTCCTGCGCAGAATGCGAAACTGTCCAACAATATTCTAGAGGAGCATCGCGATTGTTGCCCTCCGCCTCAACACCCACAGCTAGAGCGCCATCCTTCCTCAAGAATGCATCCACATTCTTATCCGTCCCCTTCCGCGAGTTTTGCTTGTGCTTCATGAGCTTCCCGTCCTTCTTGCGCCTTCTTGTGACATTCGTCTTGATGCTGTTCAAGCGCGTTGAGCCGCACTTGATGATTGAAAGCAGGATGTGCAGCATCTCGCGAGAACCTCTGCCAACTCAAGCAAGGGTTGCACCCGCTGAACAAAGCACCAAGACGCTGCGGCGATATACCCCTACGCTCACAATCCTTCGCTACCTTCCAAGTTTCTCTTGTGTTCTGCAACCAGTTTGGCTTTGTTCAGCATTGCACCCTCAATTTTAAGGCTACCTAGCACAACGCCACACAATGCCAAATCAGTCGTTCAAATGAAACTTCACATACCACGCTAGTGGCCATAGTCAGCCTTCGTTTTGAATCATGTATGCGAATTCACGGCCAGATCCAGGCAATGTGCCCGTTGGCGGCAGCCCCATATATTCACATTGACGCCAAAATCAGACCCGGCACAAGAATAACGACGGTGCATTCGATCCTGAATTCCGACCTGCTCGGCCGTCGATGGTTTCTGCAATGTTCATCGTACGGTTATCTGCAAACTGTGCACTTGGATACGTACCGCTACCTAACCAACCGAGCTTAGGGCTTCGCGCTTCCTTTTAGTATGTGGGGGAGTGTTTGAGTTGATTGAGCAAATTGTTGACTTAGGCTCGATAGATTTGAGCTGTAGGATCATGAATTGTGTCGTGTAATATCGACCGTAGAATTGTGGTTTGGATCGTGTAATGTCGACCGTAGAATAGAAGGTTTGTGTCGCTGAGTATCGATCGTCGGATTGCGTGTTGACTCGGATTCTGGATCGTTAGATGTGAGACGACTCAGAGTAGTATTGTACCCAATCACGAGTGGCACGGTCCGACCGACCACCAGTAGTATAGTGCCCCGGTCAGAAGTCTGACTGGAATATAGGCCGTATTGTAAGTAGCAGAGTGACCGGTTAATGGAAAGATGTCCATAGTTGAACCGACTGGTGGGTGGTGGAAATAGTCCCGAGCCAGGCTAGAGTACATCTAGCTACGGGATTGGAGTGCCTTCAAACTTAAAGTCATGTGATGATATTCATTCAAAGAGATGCTTAAAGTGGGCGTTGAGGTTGAAGGAACCACGTGGCTGTCGCGGTGTCCTTTATGCCTTAAACTCCCCTCCCGCGTCGCTGCCAAAATTTCGTTCTTGCGGATCGCGACGACATAAACAGCCGCAGCCCTAATGACTGGTCGCTAAATGCAGATGCATCCGCCGACGCCCTCTTTAAAGGGTGAAAGCGCTTATCTGTGAGGGTGGTTACACCCTAAATTGCGGCAAGCAAGAGTGAATGATTTCAATAGTGTTGAGATCCGACTATTAGTGTGCGCGATTTTGTGGATAACGTCGTTGGGAAATCGACAATGATTGGTAGTTAGGTTGGCGTTGAAATGCGCGCGGGTTACAGCATTTCACCAGAATGACTCATCAAGTAACCGCTGTATTGAGTAGGTTCAATAATAGCCGTATATATTCGGGTTTGCGCAAAACTTTCGGACTTGCATATTCTTGAAACTCATGGTAGGGAGTCGTAGTGTGGTTGAATTTCACAATCGTCATCGGGTCTTACCGTGTTGCCCGGCACCCATGCTCATCACTCATTGATGGCAGCCATAAACTCTAAGAGGAACACACGAAGCGCCTCACTAGCGGCTTCCTTACTCTCCACAAACTTATCTTAGAATGATGAAATAATAGTGTTTCTCTCAACCATTGTCTCATGGGTCTCTCCCGTTCCACTAGGGTCACTAGCCTACTAGGCTTACTAGCCTAAGTCACACACTACTAGGCTCACTAGCTTAGCTCACAATCACACTCAATCTTAGACTTCGATGCTCTCATCTACGGCTAACACTGACGGCCGCTCTCAACCGCCAAACTTCCAAACCGCCCAACGGTTTACCCGCCTAACCGCCGTACACGCACGCCGGCGCTCACTAGATCAAACCCAACTCGGGCCGGACCCTAATCACGTAGCAATTCGGCTGACTATAAGTCACCGACTTCTAACACTCCCACCCGGACGAATTACTCCTAGCCTCTAACTCGTCATG